AGTGTGAGCAGAGGTGTGAGCGGGAGCGTGAGCGGGAGTGTGAGAACAGTGTGAGCGGGACCGAGACGAATCCACCTTCCCCTCCCCTCCCTCCCCTCCCTCCCCTCCCCCTCTCCCCTCTGACTCTTCTCGGCCTCACACATTCGCTCACACGCAAGCGACCTCACGCTTCCGCTCACACTCGGAATCCCTGCTCGCACTCAAGCTCACACTGTCTCTCACACTCAACCTCACACTTCCGCTCACACTCAGAATCCCCGCTCACACAAACCTCACAGAAAATAATTCTTTCAGACTATCCCAACGGTTCCACGGACCTCCACTCATAATCACAGACGCAAGCAATTCGTTTCGAGCTCGGATCAGGGTTCCGCGTTGCAAGGAGTCGGTGAGTGTCTGCAGGTACACAGGCAGCAGGGTTGTGTTTATAGCATAGGCTTTCGGGCAGTTGGGAAGAAGTTGCTGATTGATCCCTTCAGCCAAGGGCCCGCATCAACAGCGCTAGCCCGGGCGCAGGAAGGACGAGAAGCTTTGGACCGTTCGGGCTGGATGCCAGGCGATCCAGGCGAGGTTGCGTGATGTTGCGTGTGGCGAGTTGCGTCGGGGCTCCGCGCGCAACACCTCCGGAATTCTGGAATCTGGATGCTTAAACTTGGAATCGAAGCCTTGCTGCAACTGCTGCACGCCCCAAAAAATATATAGCACCATTGAAATCATCCTGAGATGTGCGCAAGGATTTGCCAAACGTTGAACTGTTCATCGAAGGGAGCTTAGATTTGCATCTCATGGTGGTTGACTGTGAGGGCCGAGTGGCGTCAGCCAAGGAAAGAACCTGCTGTTGTTCAGATCGAACACCGAGCAGGCCTGTGCAGTTGCAATCTACCAAAGCTGATGATAGCGTTGATTACCTAGCAAAGGCGACTTGGCTAAAGCGGGTCCACCGGAACATGTCTTCCCCCGCATCTGGCACGCAGGATGTGCAGAACGGCATGCAGTTCTGCCCGCTGAGGCACACTTCTGGAGGAGCTGTTCGCGACAACATAATCCCAGAACCTCACTGTCAACACGCGTCAGAATTGCCGTGCTGTAAACATCTGGCATGTCGTACCACAAGAAAGCTCAGCTAATTCGTTGCGTGCCAGTGGCCGGTCCACGGCTTTTGAACGCTTCTTGAAGTCCTGGGAAACAAGGCTTCCCTTCTTCTGCTCACGACTTTCATACCTCGGTGCCTGAACCATCCTCACAGATGTCGTGCAATCCGAACAGACACCATGTTACAGATTCGACTGCAATGCCATGGCACTTGGATGAGATCTTGATTCGTGCAGGCTTGATGAACACCTCAGACTCTTCGTGAAATCACAGAGAGGCTGCAGCAAATACATGGGCAATACAAAAACACTTCTAACACGATGATTTCTTCACGACGGAAGAAGCCAAACAGCTACTCTGAGTCTGTCTACTGCAGTAGGCGAGCACGCCCTGTTCATCGCCCGGCCTCGAACAACTGCATTGTCCGATTGCAGCCTCTTCTCCTGTAGGGAGCGTTGGGTTTGCCCAGTGTTGCTGCCACTGCATTGAAGCACCTCTAGTCTAACAAGGGATCCCAGCACCTGGAGCAGTTGCATCTGTGGTCTCCGCCACACCATCCAAAGTGCTGCGAGGATGGGATAGATTGCGAACGGCAGAATAGCGTATCGGTTCCTCAATAGCATTTCAGTGTATCTTCCGAAGCATTCCAAATCTTAAAATTCCGCATGGCAAACTTGTGCAAGTCTTGCAACTGAGTGGCTCAACAAGCAAGAAGATCATGGTGACGAAAATGCGAACTGAGATGGCGAGTCGAATTACGTGAGCGACTTTTTGGAGCAAAGAGCTCTCTGCGTCTGACTCTCGAAACATGCCGTGCTGCACAAGAATCACAAGAATGGCTCAATGACTCGAGACGACTCGAGGCAAGGCGCGCGCGACCTCGATGACGTGGAAGAGTCGCCTCGGCGGGGCAGCCAAGCCCCATGGCTTGGACCGGACTCTCGGACCAGGCAGGTGGCATAAATCCGTCGCTCACCAGAACTGGAATGTCCCGCACGCAGGCCATTGAGATGTCTGCATCAGGTCTCAGCTTGCGGCTTGTGATGACCGGACGCCGAGCATCACCACAACTGTTCTCTGGGCATGTGACAAAGCTAGCTCTAAACCGCAGAATCTGTTAGCAAGCTGCTGCGATCGTGTGATACCAACAACTTTCTCTTACAGGCGCTTGGGCTCTGAATAGAAGCTGTGAGGCATCTTCGCCCGCTCGTAGGCCTGGTGCTGCATGAAACGAGGAGCGTGTCTGGACGTATTCTGGAGTTCGCTCTACCGCTCCAAGGCCCTAATACCCCTTTTCTTTCTTGTTTCAGTGACTGTTATCAAAGCCCTTCATCAAAGCTCTTCATCCGACGAGGGTGGCGAGGTACATGCAGTCCACATGGATGCGCGGGATGCCTTGTAGCTCATGAAGCGGCGAAATAGCGCAGAAATCAGTGTTCGGCGGATCGTGCCAGAAATACCAAGTCTGGCCTGAACAAACTCACAAATCATTATCAAGCCTGGTTTTGAAATTGGGGCTGCGGGGTCTAATGGAAGGATGATTTCATGTAATGTCGTTTCCCACTGCTGACATCAGCAAGTAGGTCACGAGCAAAATTAAGACGAGCAAGCGCAGGTTCCCTCGCCTCATAGACTAACTGTCAGCTCCTCTACTCCAAAGTTCGATCCCACCGGTCGCCCTACTTCAGGACAGAAAAAGGTTGCAAAACTTCGGAGCACGTGCTTCGATGCATGTGTGCAGCTCTCCGTTTCGCCTCTCCCGAAGAGCTAGCCATTCAAACGCAGCGACGACAGGACTAGCCACACAACAAACAATGGCAATGCTACGTGTCTGCTCTGGGAACCTCCGTGCACACGACTTGGACGCCGACGGGTTCGACAAGCAAGTGCGGATCCGTGCTGACTGCTCGAAATGTGGTACGAAAGCAGTTGGGGACATGAGCTTCAACTGCAGCAGTGCGTCCCTCACCACGTCCAGTATGTGGAGCAATGCGAAGGGGACCATGTAAAGCCTGACAAGTTGACTCTCATATATGCATCAAGGTTCAGAGCATGGAATACCTTTGAGAGAAAACTTCCATGCACTTCATGGACTGCAGTCGCTTGCGAAGTCAACATGTCCTCCCACAACTTGTCCTCCAAAGTTGGAGAGTTTAGAGGTGCTCTGTGCCAGCGCCCATCATGATCCCGCAGACCAAGGCACGCCGCAAGAATCGCCGCTGTAGCTTCCAGGTTGTCTGGCCAGCGGAAGAAACTAAAGATTCTACTCAATCCTCAAATCCCGAAACCCACGCGAGACCTGGGCTTGTCAGTTCCAGAAACGAAGAGCTTGGTTGTACCATCCGTGCTGAAGTTTCGTAGCGCAACTTGGGAGCCGATGGAAGAAGAATGGGGAAGGGGGAATGACAATCCTGATGCGGAGATGTCAAGGGCTTGTTCAAATCTTTCGAGTCCAGCCCGTCATTTGCAGGCTCTCTGGACTATACTGACTATACCGTTGGTGATGCCGGGTCTTAATGGTCGCACGGGAGCTCCGTCTGGGGCTTCTGTATCCGACCATGGACGATGGTGCAATCAAGTGCCCTCACCTGGCACGAGCAGGCTGGAGCCCAATAGGCCGCCGCTTCCGATGTCCTGGAGATCCCACACGTTTGGTTGCTTCGTCCACGGCTTACTGCGAACACGGCAAACAGTGACCCGGTGTTGACACGGTGGCTTGTGCTTCCACAGCCTGTCGCATGAAGCCACGACCAGTTACATCAATGGGTGCACAGGCACCAGTTCACAACTTTAAGGATCCGTGAGTCCGGTCCCGATGCTCTAGCCGACGGAGCGTTTGCTGGACTTCGGCTTGGTCGTCTGTGGCCTGCCAAACCAAATTAAACGAGTTGCGCACCATCGAAGGCATTCACACTTTTCAAAAGAGCATTGCTCGATGGGGGACAGTCTATATGCAACAAACCTGGAAGGTTCGACTGAGCATTTGTAAGAGTATCGCTCACTACTGGGCGCTTTCGTTGGAAGTGCTTGCTGATGCAATATCCGGTACTTGCATCGGAGGCAATCATGAGTAGTCCTCGGTTTCCAATTTTCGGAATTCTGACCGGCCAACACAAGCGTACAGCAGAGTAGTTTTCTTGTCCGGACAATGGCAATAACGACGAGAGAAACCATGAAGATTGATAAACTAGGGGCAAGAAGGAGAGAGATAAACGAATGAGAAGGAACAGGCCATATGACACGGATGCCGTTTGCTGTTATGTTGTTGCAGGACTTTTGGACCGTAGGGGCCCGGGACTATCTTGCCTTGATTGCCTCGACTGGAAGCCCTGTTCCGATAGTGAGATCCCATCGATAGGGAGGGGGAGGGAGGAGGAAGGGAGGGGGAGAGAGGAGCTGGAGGGGGGGAGGAGGGAAGGCGAGGGAGGGAGGGGAGAGAAGGGAGGGAAGGGAGCGAGGGGAGGCGGGGTGGGGGAGGGACGGAAGCGAGGGAGGGGCGGGAGAGGGAAGGGGAGGAGCGAGAGGGGAGGGGAGGGCAGAGGGAGGGAGCGAGAGAGCGACTTCAGGTCGCCATGTTCGAATGCCAGGCCATTGGGTGGACGACATTTCCAGCCACAGGGCTCATATGTAGCTTGAGGCTTGAGGTCCAGGAACTCGGCCGCAAACATCATCCAAGACCTTTATACGGACATCTGAAAGACAACACCCACATCTCAAGGCCGCCTGCTCGCTCAGACTTGTCCGGGCGGCCGCAGCATGGGCCTCATCGCCTGCTTTTGCCAAAAGTACGTTGATGAGATACACCTTCAGGAAGACAGTCCTTGGTGGAAAAATAAGGATCTGACATGGCGTGAAGCACGCCCAACGCAGGCATATAGTTCCATGCAGCCAGGGTGCATCAAAAAGTACAGGTTGTGCAGCAACGAGATGCTAACCTCACATGACAGCCAAAGCACAAGTTGCTCCATGTTGCTCCGCGCGATAACATAATACGTCTGCAACAAGACGTTGTCAGGAACTACATATTTAGTGCCGAAAGCAACGTGAATCAACGCCTTCCGCTTGATATCTGGCTGCATCATGCAAAGCCTGATGAAACTCCATGCGAACGTCCTGCCAATTGCAAAACACGAGTGCAATGCTACTACGGTCGACATACCCTTTACAGCCTATTCCACAAAATTCTCGCGACGAATCTATCAGCAATGGCATTTTCTGTCCTCTGTGGCACTTCGTCCAGGGAGGACGGGGGCACAAGGTATTCGGCCACGTCGTTGCTCGGAAAGCAGTCCTTCACTTCTGCTGCGCTCAAGGCATGGTTGATGCACCACAGATCACCGCGTTGTGTACGGCAGCACAGGACCTTTGCGTACTGAGATATACCACCCTTCACCCACGTCTCGTTTTGCGGCAACAGCATAGCGTTTATTGTGGGCTCGGCTGTTGCTCACGTGCCACGTGATTTCCGTCTTGCGCGCCCGCAACTGTCAGCACGAAGGACTGGAATAGAACGGTGTGAAGTGACATCTTTCTCTCTAGTTTTCGATGTGAAGGAGATGGATGCGAAAACAGCCCACAACTGCTCCTCGTCAATGATCTTGACTCGGCAGCCGCCTCCACGGATATGACATCTGTCAGGATCCGCGAGCTTGACGGCAAATTCCTCTCCATGTGATACATCTTTGAATCAGCTACGGGACACAAGCACCATGTGAGCTAACGCACGTGGTGCGACAGTTCAGCGCGGTCGCCTCACAGGTATGCCAGGCACTGTCTGTGAGGATGGGGATTGTGACGTAGGCCAATGTTGAACCGGTGGGAAACCTCAGTACGGAGGGCTCAGAGCACTTTCTGGCAAGTCTTCTGCATATCCCAGTTTAGCCCTTTCATCCATGTTCCTGGCCTTGAGACCTGCAGAACCAATTCTTATGGCGAGCAGTGAGCAAGCGAACACTTCCACTCAACTTCAGATTTCAGCCCAGTTGGCTCGATGGTCGTGTCTACCTTGGCGTACCGCAGTCCGGCCTGGCCGTGAGCATACTAGTGCCTATGATTGTTGCCAAGGTCAGAAGCACCCTTTTGCCTGTCCAGACAGATCCTGGGTGTAGCAGCGCACACCTGATTCTCTCAGCATGTCTTAGCAGGCCGAACTTTCACCGACTATGAGATGAGGTTTCGACTCTGAGTGGGGCCGCCATTCCGTGGAGCACAACTACAACACTCCTGAAGACTCGTCCGTCCTTCCTGCTAGTCACCTGCTATACTGCGAGAATGTCTGTTGGCTTGATATGCCGGTATGTTGTCGGCGAATCTCGTGCGAAGTCACAACTGAGCATTGATCGCCGTTCCACCAAGGAACTGCAAGGATTGCTTGGCTCGCCCGAGCGTATCACCGGCAGTTTGACCTGCACGGGCAGGACAACGAATCGCAGAATTTGTCGGTAGATCTAGACCCAGGTGTTGGATCCTTTGACGAACACCGTAGCTTTACGGTTCGTGGAACCGACGGTTTTGGTAATTATAGAGGCAAAACTCACGGGCATGGCCAAGGCCCCAGGAAAGCGGACACGTATCCCACACTGCTGTTGATGATGTCATGCAGGCCAATGAAGTCATGCTCAGACAGACAGGCAGACAGATGTTAAGACTCTGCCCAGGATTACAAATTCAGGCACTTGGCAGCGCAAGTACGACGATCTGCAGACTGCATCTTGTGCAGTTCTTTCCGGTCGCTTTCCCACAAGACAGGGGATCTGCAACGGCTTTGGGACGTGAAAGCAAAACCATGTGCCTCCTTTTCAGCTTCTGTGGCGAAGAAGAGATTCGTGGCCTGCAGCACAGCCAGGTTCTCCAGATCACCGTCAGCCATGCTGGACTCGAGAGGCTTTTCTTACTTAGTAGGAAAGAACCATGCTCAGCAATCTCATGTTGGGCTGTCGAAAGGCATTGTAGGCTTCACGGAGAAACCACCGTGAACGGACAACCATAAGTGTATGCTTTCGCAACAAGGCTGTCATATGGGTGACTTCAACCAGAACCGAGGCCGCAGGCAAATCGGACGAGGTCATCATCATCGTCCATGATGCCGGGCGGTGCATTATGTGCACGTCCCAAGTTGATTCTCTCGTTGTGGTTACAGTTCGGTCTACATACAGTAGCATACCCAACTCCAAGAAAAATGTATATCCTTGTTTGTTTTGGTTTTGGATGCTACCCTCCACGTGTTCCTCTGTATATCTCCGCATGGGATGGTGCCGGAATTTGCCATGCATGAGCCTACGATTTGAGAACGACTTCCAGTTTCTAAAATCACCAACATCCAAGGCTTCAGGGCTCTTCTACAGAGCCAAGCTGCAGCGCGCAAAGACACGCAGTGCTCCATTTACAACACGGCAGGTTACTGTTGGACACCAGTCAGCTTGGCAGACTCTACCAATTGAACAATCATCTTAGGCAGACGAAGTAGTCAAACATACCTGAGTGAAGGTTTAATCTCCTGCATAAGTCCGAGATGACCGCAGCACGTCAAGCTGCGCACGAAAAAAAATCGGGCGAAATCTCGAGATCCTCCTCTAAGAAGATCACCTGCCCACTCGCAGTTGACTATGCTAACACCAGACCGCGAGTCGGATCCGGTCAGCAACTCGCGGCAATGCCGGCAATGCGGAACTGAGGCTGCTTCAACCGACAGTCACAGGGAGCCAAATGCACTGAGATCTCCACCGCCTCGAAACCAAACTCGTCGAACATCCTGCATTCGCAAAGCACGGCTGTACAGGATTTTGTTTCAGCAGGCAAGCGTGGCAAGCAATGGACGGGCCTCCGCATAACGAAACCAAAATGCTGAGCGATGCGTACATAGCCGATGGCTTTTTTGCCACCGTACCTCGAAAGGGTGAAGCATGAATGTAGGAAGTTGCTTGCAACAAAGTAAGCAGGCTCATGAGGATTTTCCGCTCGACTGCTTTCAACCTTCATAAGACAATACCTATAAGCCATTCTTCCTGTTGTTGCTTGTTTTCTTTGCTTCGCCTCGAGCATTTATTGATACAGATGGACTTACAATCTGATGCCGCGCGATTAGCACAGCAACATGCGGCATCAGAGCCAATCATACTGATCTGTGGTTCGCTGCTTGACAGGCTGCCTTTCCCGGCATTAACTGATGTGAGTGTATGCTTTGCCTGCCACCGCCATTCAATGCAGACTAGCGAGCGGACACCACATGAAAGAGAAGCACCAGGAGCTGCTCAGGTTATGGTTGGGATTGCTGAAGCCAGAAGTAGCAAAAGCGCTGTAACGGGCCGAAAGCTGTCTGTGGTGCGTTCTCATCAAACGAATCTGCAAAGCAGGTGCTCTCCATGTCAACGCTGGAGCCCTTTTTCGCCGATGTTGCCCAGATCTTTACCCAGCTTCAATCGATTGGGGCACTTTGTGGCAATCGCTGGAGCATTGGGGTCGTGCTCATGATGCATATGATATGCCTGCTGGCAAGCTTCGACTCGGGAACAATCCTTTCGTGCAAGTCATCCCAGAGTCTAGAAAGCTGCAGCCGCTTGCTGTACCCTGGCTGCCTTCACAGAAGAAAACTTAGGCTCCACCTGGGCTGCTTGCACCAACATCGACAATCACTTGACCGTGGAGGAGCATGACGAGCAATGCCGCCCTTTAATGTGGAACCCCGTTCTTGTGCCTGCCTTTGGGTCAGCATCGAGCCGAAATTATGCAGGCCTGGCCTGGCCCGTCTTCACGAAGCTTCGCTGCACCAACTGGCGCATGAAACCATGAAGCTGCCAGCTGAACGTGATGCGCGCGCGCAGGCAATTCCGCAAAGCTGAACCGGGAATTTCAACCACCATGAAACGCATGCCGCAAGGTCAAATGAAGGGACGCACACATACGAGCAGGGCTTAGAAGGCTCGGCGAACGGCTCGCGAGCTCTGAGTCTCCTTCTGCAGTCTTCGGATCATACTCTCGAAGCGACTATATGCAATTTGAGGCCTCTTGCATGGCCGCATCATTGGCATCCTGCGGCAGCGCTACATTGGATGTTTGGACGATATTTAGGGTTTAAGGGTCTTGTCAGCAGTGGGTTTGGGACGAAATTTCCACACACTAAGAGACACTTTGCTGAAGCGTCGAACGTTGCACCAATATGCCCCTTCTTGCAGTATTCCCTCAAGACACCGGAAGAGCGTTATGTTCCGAAAGTACAGAACCTAAATAGTCTGACCCCTCCACACTTGGTGATCAGAGAGCGTGCTGTTCACGTTACCGCGGCGTTACCCAAAGCTTCCGGGCACGAGAGCGCTCACAGCCTGCGAGATGACCAAAGGGAACTTTGCCGGGTCACGTTGCGCGCGGAGCACGGAGTCCATCGTCTGGCAAAACAGGTGTATCACGGTGTATCGGGTAAGATCAAATAAGCTTGCTCTACAGTTCTCTCTGCGGGGTTGCGACGGAAGGAGGTGACTAGGACAAGGGGCTGGGGCAGGAAGCTGTGGACCGAAGTTTGTCAGCACTGGACATTGCTTGTCATGTTCTGGCAAGATTCCCAGGGCCGGGCCCTCGAAAGGTATTTCGGCCGCTTGCACCTCAAAAGCCATGACAAGTTAATCAGCATAATGCCGGGTTTGCGGCGGATTGAAAAACATTCAACTTCCTACAGAAGTTGTAATCACTGCTTGCAATGGTTGCCCATTGCCTCAACAGCCTGTTCTGTGATTTTCTTGTTTTTAAAAAATACTTTGTTGGCCACAGGGCAGCATGATTGAACTGAGTTTCGAACATCCGACAAGTCGGTGCACGTGGCCGTCAGACATATCGTATAAGCTGCGGCGCACAGTAACTCGGAGGTAAAATGGGTGCAGTTTCATTTCGGCGATTTTATTGGCAAATTTTCGGGTTTCCAAACTTGCCTCAGGACTCATATTTGGTTGTGTTCGTAGGGTGCATCTGGCCTCTAGTGCATTGGCAAACAAACGAATATGAGTAAAAAATAGGACGATGTATGTGTACATATCATATATAAATATAAATATAAATATAAATATAAATATAAATATAAATATAAATTAATATATATATATATATATTAACATGTATATATATATATGTGACACCACATATATGCATGTACATGTACATGTGCTATGTATATAGGCATCGTGCCACAGCTGTATCTTCCGTACCTCGCCGTCTCCGGAACTCGAACCTGAAAGTAAGCCTATTCCCACAACCCTAGACGTCGAGATTCTGAAGTGGTTGATCAAACTTTGCAACCGCAAATGTCTAAACACAAACTCGCGCCATGACATAAATGCTTGGACGGATCCGCGCAAGGTTCCCGCCCTAAGGCATCAGCGCCGGGTGAAAATGCACCGCTGACTCCCCTACATGCCCGATTTTGCGAAAGGCATCGCCAGTCACCAAACGCACCTCCACCAATCCTTCCTCCATGTGTACGCTCCGCAACGGCCGGCTTCAACGAAACTCAGATCGCACAAGCGTCAAATCCCCAATGCACGCTGGCCAACTGTGTCTGGCAGCACAGCACATCGAAAGCAACCAGCAGCACATCAACAACAGCCCTTCCGTTCCCCATGTAGACACTCGAATCCGCCAAGCACGGGCAGGTGCGCCGCGACGGAGATCCATGTTATCGGCACCGTAAGCAAGCAGCTTGCCTTTTCAAGATGAAATAGGCTTACGCAGCCATTCCCCAATTGTGCGCACCCGTGCGGCCCGTGCGGTGCCTTTTGCTAGGCAGCGACGCCGTAAGGCAAAAGGCAAATATGGGGACCAGCGCCATGGGCATCTGGCAGTGCAAACCGTCCTCCAACACAGCTTCGTTCACAGCTTGCACTATACATCCCACGAAGGCTCTGTGTTCGCGGCACCTCCGAGCGCCAGCCCTTCGAACCTGGCTGTACCTGGCTCGTGCAGCACAGTTGACCTGCAGATCAGCACACAACCATGTCGTCAGCGGACTGCAGCAAATATCGACTATGAGAAGTTTGTCGAGGTAGATCAGATGGCAAACATGCACAGGGTTACATCCTTGTCTCTCGCATGGCTGCTTCAGGCTTCAAGACTTCTTCCGGCGAACTCCTCGTGTGGTGTGCTGCGAGGATC